CAGAGACAAGTCTGATGCCCTGGCCTGCCTCCGCCCAGCGCAGGGCCGGGCACGCCCCAAGAACCCAACAGTCGGCGTTCGAGGAACGAACCCGGTTCTGCTCTGACTCCTTTTAAGTCCCTCCAGGCCTTTCCCAGCTCGTATCCTTCTGTATCTCCTGCTGCTTCCCTGTCCACCCGCATCTCTCGCACCCTAGTCTCTGTCCTCTTTCGTGGTCTCTGCGCCCTCTCTGAGTCTCTGATCCCTTTCTCTGTGGTTCTCTTCCCGCACGCCCCCCCGCCCGGGAATTCTGGGCGTCGCACGTACCTGAAGACCCCCGCGGGGGGCAGGGCGACGCCTGAGGCCGTGCGCACGCCCCAGGGCACAAGCAGCAGGAGCAGCAGCAGGAGCCGCGCCCGGGAGCTCCGGGGCACCTGGCGAGTCTCCATCACCTGCGGAGAGACAGGGCAGGGCTCCGTGAGGCCGGTGGCCTGGCTCCGAGCCCCAGAGTTTACCCACCCCCAGCAGCCAGGTCCCAGGGCCCCTACCGCGCAGTGGACTTGGGCAGCGAGCAGGCAGCCCCCTTATATCCCTCCCGCAGCCCCCGCAGCGGGCAGTGACGCAGACCAAGGGCCGGGGGCGTGGGGTCAGCCTCCCCCCAGGCTCATTAGGAGCCGCCGGCTGTAATGAGGAGCCGGGGGTGGGGGGCCCGCCGCTGCCTTGGCGGCGATCAACTAATTGGGACCAGGAGCTGGGTCCTGAGCAGACGCGGGAGGGGGAGAGACGGACAGACAGAGAGGTGGACGCAGGGGGTGTGTCAGAGGGATAAAAATAGAGACGGGCAGAGGGACCATCAGAGCAGAAGCCAGAGACACACACAGAGAGAGAGAGACACTGGAAAAGCCACACGGAGGAACTGATGGGGAGAAGCAGAGACACAAAGAGGTGAAGTAACCATGAGAAGGACAGAGACTGTGACAGAAGAAAAAAAAAGAGGAAGAGAGAAAAGGAAATTGACAACGAGGGCCAGCTAGAGAGGAGGGAAAGGCTCTGGGAAAGACAGAAGGAAATGGAAGGACAGCCAGCTGGACAGAAATGCCCAGAGATAAACCCCGGCAGGCAGAGAATCAGAGTGTGAGATAGGGAAGGGGAGAGGCGAGAGAAGACAAATGGTTGTGTGGTGGGGTGTGAAGGCGGGTAAAACGACAGGAAAGTCTTACAGAGCTCGGGGAGCGGGGACAGGGACAGGGCCGGGAGCTGCCCCGTGGATGTGCCTAACCCTTCCCGGGGCGGAGTGTGGGGTGTTATGAATCCACACCCACTCTATTAAGAAGGTGCACTCTACACAGTGGGAAGGTGGGCAAAGGTTGGGAAGTCCCAAAGGCAGTAGTAGCAATCTGGCAAGATGTGGGAAGCTGGACTCATATTTCCCCAGAAAAGAGGGGGACAGGGCCTGGGCTCAGGCTCCTGGGTTTAGATTCCTGGATTCTGGTGGAGGAGGGGCCTGGGGATGTCTATTCTTGGCTCCTGGGTCTTGGCGTAGGATGGCACCAGGGACTTCCACTCCGTTGGGGCACATCCCTCCACCAGATAAGCCAGTCCCTGACTCCCTTCCCCACTCGGGAGACAATGTGCTTTTTTCCCATTGATTTCTAAAGAGAGTGGAAGGAGAGGGGGAGGGACAGAGGAACACAGATGTGAGACATATCGATTGGTTGCCTCCTGCAGGTGCCCCCACCTGGAGCCGGGGAACCTTCAGGGGAGGTACGTGCCCTTGACCAGGAATCTAACCCACAACCCTTGGGTCTGCAGGCCGACACTCTAACCACTGAGCAACCGGCCAGGACTGGAGACAATGTACTTTAGCTCTGTCCCTTTAAGATCCCAAGCTGGTCGCTAGGCTCCCAGGATCCCCAGGGAGGGGGTCAGGTGCGTCACCTGCGCCCTGGGACCCTGCCTCCTGCTGCCCCGCCCAGAGCCATTCTGCAGCACTCACTGTTCTCTGCGCCCAGCTCTGCTCACCTGCTGGTATCTCGGACCCCCCTGAACAGGTAGGAGACCCAGGGCCCCGAGTGACCCTGTCGCATGCAGGTGTCCTCCAAGCCTCCCTCCACCTGGCCACACACCAGCCCCTGAGACCCTGAAACCTAAGCTCCATCCTCACTAAACAGAGACCTGAGTCCCCCACAACTCTCTCCTCCTGCAGGCTGAGGAGTTCAAACCCCTACACCCCTATCTCTGCAAGACCTAACCTCCTTCTCACTCAGGATCCAAGAGTTCAAGACTCCCATGTCCTTCTCCCCGATAACCCAGCCCCCCAAAGCCTGGCTCCCTCAAAATCCTCAGCATCCGAACCTGCAGGCTTCTCTCTAAAGAAGCAGGAATTTAGACCCACAGGGCCCCCCACCCTCTGGGAATTGGGACTCTGAACCCCCAGCAGCCTTCTTGCCCAGGACCCGAGTCTCCCTCCTCCCTCAGATCCAGGGGTTCAGCCCCCAGCCCCAGTCCTTCCTTCTGAGCCTCCTGGTGTAAACAACTGTGGAGTCCAGGTGTCCCTGGGGCCCTCGGAGAGGAAGGTACCCCCGGTCCATTCAGAGATCGACATCCTCTGAAGTCGAAGTTGAGGAGGTCTGGGGACTTGGAGAGGTGTCATTTCCCCCCAATTTTTCTGGGACCCCCCTTGGGGAAACAGATAAGGAAATTAACTACGACTCCCAAGAAGCCCCGCGCCCGTGTCCCTTAGCTACGGCGGCCAACGCCCCAGCCTTCAGGGACCTGCAGTAAGGTTCTGCTTTCCCTGGGACCAGCTGGGCAGGGGCAGTGGTCCGCCTGGGGACCAGTGGGCGTGGCCTCGGTCGTGGGCGTGGTCTCTGTGTGGGCGTGGCCTCCGGGCGTGGGCAGGGACTGGGGCAACCTCCTGACTGAGCCCCTTCCTTCCCGCTCCCCCGCAGCGACTGGCGTCTTCCAGAGCCATGAGAGCCTTCGGCCCCATCCTCTTCCTCGTCTTCCTCCTCCTCGCTGGGCGGGGTTCCGAGGCCGCACCTTCGGCCTCACCAGCTGCGGGATCCTACTTCCCAAGGATGGGCCTCCCCTCGGAACCCCTTCTTCCTGCTCCTGAAAATGCCACTCTCCACCAGCCTCACCCGGAAACCCCTGGGATGGCTTCTCCGGAGCCCCCCAAGGCCCCTCATTCGGGTTCCCCTGAGTCCTCTTCCCATAACTTCACTGACACCCCCAACGCTGACCTCCAAGAACCCCCACACCCAGAGTCTCCTGAGACCCCCCAACCTAACTCACTCAACACCTCAACATCAGAAGCCCTGGAGACCCCCCAAATTAACCCCTCCCAGATGATGCATCCAGAACCTTCTGAGACCCCCTCGTCTAACCTGCCTGAAATTCCACACCCAGAGTCTCCTGAGACCCCCAAACCTAACTCACTCAACACCTCAACATCAGAAGCCCTGGAGACCCCCCAAATTAACCCCTCCCAGATGACACATCCAGAACCTTCTGAGACACCGACCACTGACCTGCCTGAAATTCCACACCCAAAATCCCCTGAGACCCCCAAACCTAACTCACTCAACACCTCAATATCAGAAGCCCTGGAGACCCCCCAAATTAACCCCTCCCAGATGATGCATCCAGAACCTTCTGAGACCCCCACCACTGACCTGCCTGAAATTCCACACCCGAAATCCCCTGAGGCCCCCAAACCTAATTCCTCCAAAACTTCACACCCAGAATTTCCTGGGACCCTGAATCCTGACCCTCCCCAAACTGCACACCAGGAATTCCCAGGGATCCCCAAACTTAACTCCACTGAAATCTCACAGGCAGAGAGCCCTGATCCTGACCCCACCAAAACCCTTCACCCCGAAACTCCAAAAATCCATGACCCCAACACCGCTGAGACCCCAAGCACTGAATTCCTTCTGACCCTCCACCCCAACCCTACTGATACCCCCCACCCAGAATCCCATGTAACCCACCACCCCGGCCCCACTGAAATTCCCCAATCAAAACTCCCCACAACCCACCACCAAGGTGCCACAGAGATCGCCAGGGACTCTGCCCCTGAAACCTCCACCAGTCCTCACCCAGACACGCCCGCACCCTCCAGGGACCAGGCTACTGCCCTCCACGAGCTGCCCCTGAACCCCGAGCCAGAAACCCCTGCAGCCACCCAGCCCAACTCCCTTAAACTGCCCACCTCTGATTTTCCTGGGACTGTTGAGCCCAAGGCCTCCCAGAGCTCTAGCCCTAAAGGGCCAGATGCTGCTCTTTCCTCCTCCGGGATAGCGGACCCCCCTGCTCCTCCAGGGCCCCCCAATCAGCCGGCCCCTGCCACTCAGCGGGCCCCCCAGCGGCGCAGCCGAGGTGAGAGAGTCAACACTATCATCCTGGTGGAACGAGTGAAGGAGACCGGTGAGCGGCTGGGACCCGGACTCCTGGGCCTGAGGGAGGAGGGGCTGGGACCCAGACTCCTGGGCCTGAGGGAGGAGGGGCTGGGACCCGGACTCCTGGGTCTGAGGGAGGAGGGGCTGGGACCCGGACTCCTGGGTCTGAGGGAGGAGGGGCTGGGGGCCTGGACCCCTGGGTCTGAGGGAAGAGGGGCTGGAGGCCTGGACCCCTGGGTCTGAGGGAGTCGGGGCTGGGGGCCTGGGCTCCTGGGTCTGAGGGAGTCGGGGCTGGGGCCTGGACTCCTGGGTCAGAGGGAGGAGGGGCTGGGGGCCTGGACTCCTGGGTCTGAGGGAGGAGGGGCTGGGGGCCTGGACTCCTGGGTCTGAGGGAGGAGGGGCTGGGGCCTGGACCCCTGGGTCAGAGGGAGGAGGAGCTGGGAGCTTAGATTACTTATAACCGGGCTCCTTCCTTCAGGCGTGACCCTGGTGGGACGCCCCCGGGGCGGGGCGGGAGGGGCCCTGTGCCTCTTCTTCGCCGGGACCGGGCTGCTGATCGGCATTTTCCTGCTGCTGTGGTGTCTCTACCGCCGGGCGGCTC